TCTTCTGTATTGACTCTTTGGGTGACTACTTTAAAATAATCTTATAAATTGTGGGTCCTGTATTAAATTGTTTCCCTTGTAAATCCTGACTACAACAACCACTCTTCTAAACAACCCCTCCCAGCCACCCAGTTCCCTCATTCCCTGGTCATCTCAGCCAAAGACTTTGCTTTCCATTTCAGTGAACAATGAAATGAACTTCCCCCATTCCTGCAGCTCCTCTTATCACCCGCCTGGCAGCTTTCCATCTTATTACTAAAGACACGCTGACCTCGACTAAATCTCACCCTCTCTGACTTCTTCAGGACACTTAATCAAGGAGAGATGAAATGGCAGTTATGATGCAGAGATGTCACATGCCTGTGTGTACTGATGCTTGGGGGCTCAGGGATAGAGCAGGTGCTTAGTATGCACAGGGCTTGTGTTTGTTCTCCATCATCAAGGCTGAGGAGGAAGAAAACAAGGCGGGGATGGGGAAAGGGAGAGTAAATGACTAAATTAAGTGTCTGAAAACATGTTATTACCCTAGACCATGGTTAATCATTCCAGAGAAAGCGAACAAGCCCAAAACTTCCCATAAATAAAGGAAGAGATGGGGACAAGCTCCAATCTCACTGCAGATCACCAGAGGGAAAACTGTCTCTTTCTGGTTCCTGTGTGCCAGAGAAAATGATGTCCTCCAGTCCTCCACTCAGTAGTAAACGTGGATCACAATCATGCTGGGAAAACCTGCAAAAGTGGCCAGGCTAGAAAGACGAGAAATTGTACTCCCAATAACTCTGAAGTTTTCCCCTCTTTGGCTGCACCCCTAAGAAAGGAGGTACTGTTGGAAGTGAAGCTTTCAGATGCCAGCAATTTCACTGGCAACATCATAAGTTTAAGATTCAATTACAAAACCCAGTAGTTTTAGAAAGGGAGTTAGTGCTGGCCTTGAACTGGGCTTGCATTTTTATACCAACTCCATTCAAGAGTCCATGGAGGTAAAGCATCAAATTCAACAGAAAATTATCTTTCCTCTGCTCTTATCAAACAATGATGGTACACGATGGTCCAGTTCTCTCCAGATCAGTCAAAGACCACTAGGCCACTGGACCACAATGATCCACACCTGTAAATGCAGCTCCTTGAGAGGCTGAGACAAAAGGATCACAAGTTCAATTTAAGGGCCAGCGATACAGCTCAGTGGCACGGTGCCTGCCTGGCAAATGCAAGGTCCTGAGTTCAATTTCCAGTACAAAAAAAAAAAAAAAATGAGTTCAACTTAGTGAGACCTGGTGCAAAATAAAAAATAAAAGGGGCTGGGAATGTAACTCAGCGGTAGAAGAGCTATTGTTTCAGCCCCCAATCCTGCAAAATGAACAAACATATATACAAAAAAAAACAAACAGGGCAAAACAAAAACCCTGGACCTTCCGTCTCAAGAGGACACTGACATAGTGAAGACCTCCTGCCCATTCCTGCTTTGCTCCTTCACATCCTGCCTCCTTCTCCCAGGACAACACCCCCTCATTCCCCAGCATCCTTACAGCTTTTCTGTCTGATTCAGCCCTTTCTAACAGGTCCTAGGCTACGCTATCACTTTTTTCATTAAAGTCACAGAATTAAGTGACCTTAGTGCTTCACAGCATCACCGCCAATGAAATATAACAGATACCACAAGAAGCTGGCACCATTCTGGGGTGTGCACTAAAACTCAGAATTAAGGAAGGATGTAGTTATGTTCCATGAGATTGGAATGTCAGGAAATCCGTGATTTACATAAATGAATTGATGACTGGGGTGTAGTGTGAATTTGAGGGAAAGGAACCTAGAATGAGCAAACCTGGCTTACATGTTGTTCAGGGTGTTGACCTAAAACCTAGAAGAGTTGTGGTAATAGCAAAAACAGATCAAGATGGATGGATGCAGGTTTACTTGAAGAGATGTACTTTGGCAAAGATACAACAGAGAAATAAGAAAGGGAAAGGTGTAGATGATGAGGGATTTTCTGGCAGGCAACTGACATACTGATGTTCATTTTGATAGAGGTGGAAGAGTTGTGGGACTGGGCCAGTTTGACACAGAACTGCTGAGAAGCAATGCCAGTATCTCCATAAGGACAGACAGTGCTTGGTTATTTATTCATTCAACAAATGCTTATGGAGGATTTCCTGCAGGGAGACTTAATGGGCTCTGTGATGTGGCTTCTCTTCTTAAGGGCTTAGGGTGAGTACATCTATCTTTAATAAAAGGTATTAAATAATAAGAGTCAGAACCATGAACAGATTGCACTCAGAGAAGAACAAGATCATTTCTGAGTAAAATCCAGAGTAATAGGAACACAGCTTTTTTTTTTTTGTACATTCTCTTTTGTTCAAATGATTTCAATTGTCTTTGTCTTTCCCAGTATCCACCAAATTCAAACAGAGCCCTTCAGAGCTGGATCTATCCATCCCAACGTCCAATGAGACCCCAGAAGTGGACATGCTTGGTGAGGACTGCAGTGGAGGTGAAGGGCAGCAGCCTTTGTCTGTCTAAAGTCAGGAAATATTTGAAGTTCAGGAATGGAGGAAAAAGAAAAAGAAAAGCTATCAAGGAAACTAGGAATCCTGAAGACAAATAAAGGCTGGTGTCAACAAAACACAAGACAGAAAAGGGCTTTAAGAACTGGATAGTCAAGCCAGTTGGTGGCTCATACTTGTAATCTTAGCTACTTGGGAGGCTGAGGCAGGAGGATCAAAAGCTGAAGGCCAACCTAATGATTTAGAAAGACCTGTCTCAAAATAAAAAAAGATTATGAGATAGCTTAGCAGTTTCTGGGTTCAATGCTCAATATAAAAAACAGAAACAAAATCCAATGAGCAGTCACCAATGTCAAATGCTGCAGAGAAATTAGAAATGGAAGCTAAACAATTAATAATGTTTTTCCTATACAGAATCTCAGAGGTATTCTTGCTAGTTGAGTGACCTCTCAAATTCTTTGTTAATAATACAGAGTAATTTCAGGGTCTACCTTATAAGATTTTCGTAAGTTAAATGAGGTGATACAGGTCAAATTGTGCTTAGACCAGGACCTAGTGAGCTCTCAAATATTCACTATTATTATTAAATATTTCATGTTTATTTTCTATACATCAAGATGTCACTTTAGGTACTGGGGAAAAGTAATAGTATTAAATGATACATTGAAGATGCAGCTTCAATAATAAGGTAAAGACAGAACTAAATGCATATCAGAGAGCCTAGAAATGAAACATTTCCCCTAAAAGAGTTTGGCTATCGGCCCTCCCAGTCTCCACAAAAAGATTCAGTTACAGCTATTTTGGTCAAGTCTGTGACTGGATATAGCCAGGATCTGTCTGTTCCTTTGCATAAGGGAGGCAGAGACCTTGGCTATGACCCTTGGCGAAAGCTCTGAGATACACCCAGTAGCCAGCAGGCCTGTGTACTCACTTCTGGGGTTACGCTGGACATACAAAACAAGATTGAATATCAGATTGTGTAGATGCAGCTTCACTCAGAGAATCTTCATCCGCACGGACTAGACCACCACGGAGATCAGTCTCTTCACACTCCAGCAGTGCTGATGTCAGTCAAGCGTGGTGGGCCTGAGGATCCCAACCTGTATCCCCGGCCCCAATATGGGTATCGCTTTGGCAGCACTATTTCCTTCCTCCTGACAACTCTCACATTGTCAAGAGATTGTTCCAGATCTTGTGGCTCACTCTGTCCTATTCCAGGCCTCAGCAGGGTTTACTTCTCCTTTTATGAGTTCGCCAGGAACAAAAAGTAACATCCCAACCCCTGTCAACTCCACAAATTTACTGCACTTAGCTGAAAGAACACTTGTTACTACAGGAACTCCATATGCTTCAGCAAAGATAGGATCTCAGCTTATGACAGTAAGGGTCCTGCTGACAGTCTCGTTTTAGCTATGCGGCTAAAACGATATGGCAGTATCCAGACCCAGGGCTGTTGCTAAGGTATAGATGCAGACATTGGCACTCAGAGAGTAATGGTCCCCAGTTGCTTGCAGCAACCACAACAGGCTTTTGGCTTGGGTTGCTGGATACCACCTTCCTCCACCTCAATGGCCACCTATGTTTTCTTCCTTACCAACAGTATTCTAAGTGTAATCAAGGCAGCACAATTCTCATCTTAAAAAAAACTACATTTCCCAGGAAGCCTTGCATGGTTAACTGCAGTGATTGACCAAGTAAAGCCCCTGGGGGATTTCTATAAAAGTTTTGCCTTCCTGATGTAGATGCTGTTCCCTGCCTGCTTCTCTAGGGTTTAGGTTTTGTGAAGGCTAATTTGACTGATTCTGTATTTCCCCAGGTTGTAACCATACTCAAAGGTATTGAGAGTAGTGTCTGCTTTCTAGGTAATAAAGGAGCTCCTACATATGAACTGATTACTTTAAAATTTGAGTCATGTAACTGGCTGCTGAGTGTTCTAAGTGAAAATGAGTGAATATCTGGCCTGTGACAAAGTTACTAATTCATATACAGGCAAACATGAGACTACCTAATTAGAGAAAGATTAAAAAGTTTGAAACCTGAGCAGTTTTTTTCAATAAAGGAAAAGGAGTAATTTTTGTACAGTGGGAAAAAATGAACTCAAAAGTTTCTACTTTCAAGTGTATCCACACTCACCTCTGCACAATGTCTTTATCTTAACATTTTAATTCCTTCTACTTTCTTTCATAGCAAGCTATTGAATGAGAAATGTATCAAGTTGACTGTTTGGCATATCTGATCTAGAATGCTTTTTACACCACTCTTTTTTTCTCTCCCAGTAAATACTTTCAAGTTTGACATTTACCTTATTGGAAATGACAGGTATCTTGCAGCAAGTTTCTCAAAGCAGAATGTGTGCTAAGGATTATTTTTAAATGGAGCAGACTGTAGTTTTATTAAAACTTTGAAATGCAGAAATAAATGAGTGTCGTTTATTGTAAACCAAAATAATCCAAATGACTGACTATAAACCCAAAAGGTGAACAGAGAAAAACTTCAAAATTCAGTGTGAACACGTTTATTTTTCTAGCTCTGACTTTTTTGTAAAGTACATTTATAATCTAAATGTCCCCTTTCCCATCTCCCTTTACAACATACCATTTCAGCTTCTTCGTTTATAAAATCAAGGCCTTAAGAAAAAGCCTTATTTGCATTCCCATGAAAGAAAGAATATTTATTTGTCACTAGGATTAATTTAACCGAACTTGACTAAATCCTGGTAGAGGCTTCACTTTTTATCACAGACATGACAAGATGGAAGGTCTTTCATTATCAACAAATCCTTATTAATACAATTGAGCCATTAATTAAATGACTCAAATGCATTTTCTGAGTTTGTACTAAATGCAACTATGGTTCCTAAAGCAGACACACTTCCCTTGATGTAAAACGGGCCACTGAAGAAGTTTCAAACTTTAAGACACTCAAAATACTCAAGGGACAAGAAAAATTTTGTTGTTGCTGCTGCTGCTTCTTCCAGAAGTGCTCCATTTATTTTACTGAACATACCAAGTATTGGGAAAATGTAACTCAAGCTCAAGCATTAATAAATGATGGTATTAGGGAATGGCTGCGTACATTTTTGCCATAACATGTTCTGGTATTTCTCAGTGTTATCTGTGCACAGTAGTCTAGAATAACACCAGTTTCAAAAGAAGTCAATGTCAATTTAAAAATAAACCAGGAAACAGACAAATTGCTATTTATGGGAAAAGTAAAAATATAGAAACACCCACCCCTCCCCCAGTGCTAAAATTACACTTCCTCAGACACACAGCCATCATTGGGAAGTGTGGGGGTAGACATGGCAAATGTATATCGCATACTAAATATAGGTAATGTACACAAGGCTTTTGTATGTGGTTCCAAAGACTTTCCAAATGGTTTTTCAACATTGTAATTGAAAGGATGAAAGTTGAGGAGATTCTAAGTATTTTCTCAGACATAGCTGACAGGTTTCTTACAGTCCGCAAAGTGACACATCACCATCATAACATCAAGCTGTTTTGCCCATCACCCATAAGACATGACTTCCCAGGACATCAGATTCTCAAGATCTATGAATTTCTTTCATGTGCCTCTTATTTTCTTTTTCCTGAACTAAAGTTCTCTTCCCAGGTCGTTTTACCTTCTGGCAAAGGCTCTTTGGGATACAAATATGCTATGTCATTTAGATGTCCTACAAGTCAAATCTCAATTTACAAACTTAAAATCAGTTCCTGGTCTTTCTGTGCAGAACATCCCACACTTACTTCAAAAAGATCATTTAAAACACTAGAAAAAAAGTCCCTCTGAAAGTGAAAGAGTCTTTAGAAAAATCAAACTCAACCTCTTCTCTTAAAAAGAGCATTAGTCTCCTATTCAAAAACATGCGTCTTATTATTTTCTAAATGTGATGATTAAATAAAATTAAATGTAAATAACAGTGATTAAATAAAAAATTTAAAATAAATTAAAAAGTAGTCTGGAATTTTCAGGGAAGGTAAATAGAGAAAAATCAGTTTCTGGTAAATTCACATTCCTTTCTGTACCAGTTTCCACAATGAGTGAGCAACACTGCCCTCTAAAGGGTATACTGTGTAACACCTCTTAGTTCACAGGGTCAGAAATTACCCCAGGATGCACTGGCCAGAGTATAGGCACACTCCTACATTCTTTCGCATGCTTCCAAGGCAGTCTGTCCTTGATCTCTCATGAATGATTCTCAAGACTATGGAACCCCCTGTTACCCAGGAAAAGGCTTACTGAGGGAATCAGAACTTAACATTTGCTGCAGTGGTTCTCAACCCTCAGCGTGCATCAGAATTGCCTGGAGGGTTTGTTTAAATGCAAGTTACTGGGCCTCATATCCAAAGGTTCTGAGTCTATAAATTCTGGGTTGAGTCCCAAAACCGCCTGTCTAAAAAATTCCTTAGTAAGGGCCGGGGATTTAGCTGAGTGGCATAAGCGCCTGCCTGGCAAGTGCGAGGTGGTGAGTTCAATCCCCAGCACCAAAAAAAAAAAAAGAAAGAAAGAAAGAAAAATTCCTTAGTTCCAGAGATATAGTTCAGTGGCATAGTAACTGCCTGGCAAGTGCTTGAGTACGATTCCTGGTATTTAAAAGAAAAAAAAATCCCTGGGAATGCTAATGAGCCATCAAGAAACCACACCATTAGCCAAGCACTGTGAGGCACCTTGTCTCAGCCTATTACAATAGGCTAAGATCTTATTATCTCTGTTTTATATAACAGGAAACCAGTGTCAGAGAGATCCAGTGGCAAAGTCACACAGTAGTGGCAAAGATCATAACAAACCCAGGACTGTATATCTCTTCTCTATACCGTGATGTTAGTAGCTGACATCTTTCTTGGCCTCTGCTTTTTCATGCAAGGGGGCCAGACTTAGATAATGACTCAGGTGACTTTTCTCTCAGGTTACCTGGAGGTCTGGACTGAAGACACCCTCACAAGGTCCACACCACATCCTGACTAGCTCTGTGAGTGGGTAAGCTCAGGGGACAAGAAAGGGAGGTCACGGCAGCCCTAGTCCTCCACTGGTCCTGAATCTTCCTACAATGTTCAGAAACTGTCTGTAGGGTTCTTTTGTATCAGAAACTCTGGAAGAGAGGTGTTAAGGCAAGTGGGTCTTCCCATGGGCACACTGAGGACCTCAAAGCCTAGCTGGACTTGGGGAGGACAAAGTAGGTGCCGCCACCACCCCCATTTCATCTTGAAGCATCAGGGCAGGAGCAGGGACCCCAAAATAATTCTAAAACAAGAGCGGCTGCCCCACTGTGTGCAGCCGAGGCGGTTTTTGACACAAGAAAAAGGTTTCAGGCCACACACTAAGATCAACAAGTGAGAGTCCCAAGCGCTCAAGTCCAGCCGGGATAGCAGGATGTCGAGAAGGAAAGGCTGTGACGAATCACTTCTCAGCAGTTTTTCTCATCCTTTCCACTCCATTCCGCACTCAACTTGCTTAAGTCCTGAGGGAGCTACAAATCTGGGCACACCATAAGGATGACTTCTGGCCGTGGTCCTAGGAGAGGAAGGATGTTCTCAGAAAAACAACCCTGCATGCTGGTCAGCAGAGATTCCGAGGTCGCGGCCACAGGCGGACTTGGTGCAGAACTGGACCCGGGACTCCAGCACCTCACTGAGCTCATCCAGAGCGCCGGTGCAGGACTCCAGGCTCTCGGCCAGTTTCTGAATCTTGGCCTTCAGCACGGCCTGACTAACCTTGGTGGCCCACTCGGCGCGCCTGGGGATGAGGACGCCACGGGAGCCAAAGAAGACGATGAAGTAGACAGAGTTGTACAGGGCCATGGATGCGTTCCTCCCGCTCTGCAGCAGCTGCGTGTCCCCGCGGCCCTGCCGGCGGCAGAAGAACTCGAGGCAGCTCAGGATGTCGCGCATCTGGTCCTGGCAGGTGGCCGCGATCTCCTGCACCCGCCGCACCTCCCGGGAGTTGCAGAAGATGAGGGAGAGGTCGGATGTGATGGTAACGGCTCCTCCGGCGGTGGCCACCCCCAGTCCCACGGCCGAGGCCACCAGCGAGGCTCCCAGGGTGACCGGGCTGAGCGACAGCCCCACGATGGCGGCCACGGCGCCCGCCGCGCTCAGCGAGCTGCCCGCCACGTGCGCCGCCACCGAGCGGCGGCGGCGGCGCTCGAGCCTCCGGGCCACGTCGCGCAGGCGCAGTAGCTGCCCGTGCAGACGCCCGCGCCGGTCCAGCAGCAAACCCTGGAAGCGCCGCAGCGCGTCTGAGCCCGGCGGCCCCCAGGCTGGGGACGGCTCCGTGCCCTGCGGAGACACAGATTCTTGGTTAGCACCCGGCTCTCGCTAACCTTGCACACTGGAGAGTCGTGGGAGGTTCAGCGTACCGGCACCTGCCACGGGTGGGCCCCCAGTGGGCCATGGGTCAAGGTTCAAAGGAAGGTTCAGAAATCTGGGACGATTCCAGGCCTTATATCTGCATATGCAAATACGAGCAATGTGCTCTTCTGCTTTTCTCCCAGGGAAAGCTAACACTAGAATCATCTGTTAAATAACATGGGGGTGAGGTTGGAGTAGAAGGCCACTCCAAAACTGAGTGAGGCCTTTGCTTTGTTTGAAAGGTAACAGTTTAAAGTTTACAAACTTTTATAGTGTTTATTATATGAAGGCTTGGATCCTAGCATCTCTTCTCTCTGTATCTCTATCTCTGTCTCTCATAAATGAAAAAGACAAGTTACCACACCCTCAAAAATTATATTGCCTATCAAACTTAAAGACCCTGTCTCAAAATAAGGGCTGGGCTGTAGCTCAGTAAGGAAAACCTTGAGTTCAAGCCTCAGTACCAAGAAAACCAACCAACCTAATCTAAATTAGATGCTCAATTGAAGCAACACCCTACTTACTGCTTGCTATTCTTTCAGGTTCTTACCTTAGAATCAAGCCGAAGAGTGTTCTCTACTGTGTATCCCAACTAGGGCCCCTTAAGGAGAAATCTGCCTTTGATGGTACTTCATTAAAACTAAACTGCATCAATTAATGCCTTGTCCCTTTAGTATGAGTTTCCTTTTTTAAAGAAATGAGAGCCCCGGATTTAGCTCAGCAGCATAAGCGCCTGCCTGGCAAGTGCTAGGTCATGAATTTGATCCCCAGTACCAAGAAAAAAAAAAAAGAGTAACTAAAATCAATTGGCCAAAAGTTTATTTAAAAATTCACTGAGAAGCCAGGTGTGGTGGTGCACATCTGTAATCCCAGCACTTGGGAGGCTGTTGCAGGAAGGATCATCATAAGTTCCAGACCATCCTGGGCCACAAAATGAGCTCAAGACCAGCCTGAACTGCATAATGAGACCCTGTGTCCAAAAAAAAAAAAAAAAAAATTAACTGAGGGGTACCTGTACCCAGTTGAATTAAAGCCAGTGAAAGGTAACTAACAAAGAGAAAACTGAATCCTGGGATAAAAGTATATCCTTCCTATTTGTCAAAAGATTCCTACCCTCACAGCCACTACATTCTTCGCTGTCACGAACTTCTTCAAAGCAGTAAAGAAGCACAGAAATAGGACATTTCAGAACTGTGAGGATCAGGGCAGATATAGTTATTCTCATCTAGAAGGTGAAATCAAAACAGGAACCTGTTCTAGATGCAGCTGATTCTTCACAGAGCTAATCTAGCATCCTGGTCTCTCCATTTGGGGGTTTTCTTTTTATCTGAAGGCTGTCATAATCCAACTCACCAATGAAAAGGAAAAAAAGTCATCTCAAGTATATAATGGACCAGGACTACAGCCTCAGTTTTACCAACCCTTTGGGTATTTTTCAGACAGTACCCTCCAGGTTCCCCACTTACCATTCTCTTCTGGCTGCCTTCAGGAAAGAAAACCCAGAGGCTGTTTCTGGATGAGTGTGCTTTATACTCCCAGAGAACCAATGGCTGCCCTGGGAAAGCCTGGTCTCATTCTGAGAATTTGCCATTTCCGCCCCTGACCCCTGCTGCCTTCATCCAGAAGGATGTGACCTGGTGGAAAATGACCTGCCAGCACAGCACATCCCGTATTTAGGAAATGAACATTGTGTGTTCGCTTTCCCCTCAATGCAGGAAGAGAACCACAGGCCCTTTCCCAACTTGAAACAAATGTCATCATCCTCCCAGGGGGGATACCCTGCCTTTCCTCTCCTGAGAATAGCCAGTGACGCCATTCTGGAGCTCTCACACACACCCTGCGCTGACCAATTATAGTGTTTCATGAGACACTACCGTTACAAAATCATTCTGAAAAAAATAGGAGGTGGTAGAAACATTCTTATATCTGATACAGTCACTCATAGCCCTTGCTGGTATTTCCAAAAGTATTGTGAACCTGTAAGTGGCAAAACGTGTGATCTATTCACTGAGTGTGCAGCCAGCACCATGGAGCCTAAAAAAGCAGGACCACACCCACAGGAAGTGCTGCGTGCAGTTTTGGGCATATCCAGCTGTGGAAAAGAGATGAGAGGTCTCAGGAAGGGCGCGCTGCAGGCCAAATGCGTCAGAAACATCAGTGGGGTCAGGCTGCACAAGGAGCTAGTTATATGCTTCCCACAGCAGCAGGGAAAAGGCTTCCTGAGTTTCATTTGAAGTAGCAGCTATAGCTCATGTGCTAGTTAAGTGGATGGATTCTATCCACAGGTTAGCAAAGCATGCAAGACAATCATCTGAGCAATCCAGGAAGGGAAAATGAACGTAGCATCTGTGGGGTTGCCACAGAACAGATCACATGGAGGATGGTTATTTCTGGGATATTCAGAAGTGGTTGGCATCCAGCCTGAAAACTGACAAATACTACAGAGCTCAAAATATATGACCCTTTCTCTGACAATGTCACCTCTGAATTAGGAAGGTCAAACTTGATTTTTGCTGAAATGATTAATATCTCAACTCCCTGGGTTGGGAAAGTCTTAACAGTTATATCATTCTGTTACATAATTAAATCAGCCACCTTCATAACTATAATTTGTACTTACAAACAAAACACCACTACTTGCAGCCACAGTTGTATTGAATTGAGTTGTTCTGAATTTTGTCCACATCCACATAGTCTGGTTGGAGCTCCTCAAAGGAGAAATATAACTCCAATTTCCACCTGTACTTTGGAGACAAGAAGGAAAAAGAGTATCCTACTTGGTCCTCATCAACATAGACACAAGTGGAATGTAGGTCAGGGTGAACTGGGATAGAGTGGATTAGTCAGCCTTCCATCACTATCACAAAATAACTGAGATAACAAACTACTAAAGAGAAAATTCATAGCTTTGAAAGATCATAGGCCATGATCAGTTGGGCCTCTGACAAGGCAGCACATCATAGCAGGGGTGCCTGGCAAGCACAACTGCTCATCTCAAGCTCAATAAGTGAACCAGACAGGAAGAAGAGGGTGCCAGGGCTCCACGGTCTGCTTAAAGACCTGCCTTGAATGACCTAAAGACCTCCTGCTGGGCCCAAGCTTCTGATAGCTCCCAACAGCAAGCCTTCAACACGGAGCCTTGAGGGACATTGGATATCCAAACCGGAGCAGGAAAGAGGACACGGAGGATCTGAACCCTGATTCTTCAGTTCCTACATGCTCCCCCAACTTCCCTGGATATTGTCTTGTATATTTGGGGCTTAGATAAACACAATTAATCTTCATTTCATGGGTGAGGAAGTTTTCAGGGTCTTTTTCAGAGCCTCAACAATTATGCATAGAACTAAACTGAAAAAATAGAAGATAAAGGACAATAGACAGTGTGGCAACTGAGTTCTGGCCATGTCCCAGGACTTACTTTCTTTATGTCAAAAACACATTTTCTTTATATTTCTCTCTTTATAAAGGAGGGAAATCTAATCTTTGATAGCCTGGCTGTAATGGTTGATTGACTGTGTCAACTTGAGAAGTTTAGAAGCTTAACTAAATCGGCTCTACAATTCTACATGCCTGGAAGGTGTAAAGGGGAAGTGAGGAAGGACAGATGGGCTTCTGTTCTTCAGAAGAGCTCCAGTCTTCACCTTCAGCTTGGATATCATCTCCTGGATTTCAGCACAAACTCTTTGGCTTCCATCATAGACTCTTCATGCTTCCAGTGTGTACGCTTCAGCCTTCCATCACAGACCCATCGGCCTCTTGATACAGACTTGCATGGGACACTGCAGGGAGCTCCATACCTTGGACTGGACCCATCAGCCTCCAGTGTGCAGGCACCCTCCACACACTTCTTCATCCAACTCTGTGGCTGACCATCATCAGCCAATCTTATAGTTTCTCATACATTTGTATGTAGAATATCAAAATCTTAAAATTGAGACAGTTTATGAATATGAGGTTGAGGTCAAAGGTCCTCAAGATTTTCCTCTGTGATCAGTTTTTTAAGTACATTATTTTGCTTTATATCTAAATGTCCCTCCAAAACCTCATAGGCTCATAGTCAGGGTTTGGGGAAGTGACTGGGTCATGGGTGTGCTACTGGATTAGTCCACTGATGGGTTTACAGCTGAGGGTGATGTTGGGAGGTGAAGCCTGGTGGGAAGAGGTGGGTCATTGTGGGCATGGCCTGGAATGGTGTTATATATCGCCCTTCCTCCTTTGATCTCTGTTTCCTGCCTGCCATGCTGCCCTGCCTGTAAGCCAAAATAAACCTTTCCTCTTTTTAACTTGTGGGTGTCGGGTATTGTGTTTTAGCAATCAGCAAGTAACTAAGACATATATTCACTCAAATAAAGAAAAATAAAGTAATACACATTTGCCTGAGGATGGTAACCAGGAATTTTGTGAATATCATGAGAATGTAAGGACTGTAGTACATAGTAAAGGTCTCATAGGGACTAGTCTAATTTACTTAAGAAAACAACTGTGGAGCCAAATCTGGTGGTATAAGCACATAATTCCAGCACTCTGGGAGGCTGAGGCAGGATGTTCGAGTCCAACTTGGGAAACTTAGCGACTTAGCAAGACCTTGTCTCCAAATAAATAAATAAATATTTTAAAAATGAAAAAGAAAGGCTGAAATATACCTCACTGTGAAGGACCTGGGGTCAATCTTCAGTATAAAAAGATTAATTAATCTCATCTGACTTCACTTGATCATTTCACATTATATACATGTATTAAAACATCACTGGACTGAGGATATAGCTCGGCAGCACAGTGCCTACATGAGATCGTGAGTTCAATCCCTAGTACCAAAAAAATAAAAATAAAAAGTCACTGTGCCCCATAAATATGTACACTTGTTATGTAAATTATTTTTTAGAAATACTTAAGATTAAAAAACTTTTTAATTTGAGTTAATTTTAGACTTAGCAAAAAGTCACAAAAATATTTCAGAGTAAATCTGAATATTCCCCATGAATGTTCTCCCAAAGCCAGTATCTTATGTAATTGTAGTACAGTTGATCAAAACTAGAAAATTAGCATTGGTATAATACTGTTAACTAAATAGAGACTTTAAGTTTCACCAGATTTCCTGTTAACATAGAATGCCTTTTAAAAAAATTATAGAACAATGAATTATAATTTAATTATAGAAAATTATAGCCACAATGCTGATATAGCTAATATCCTTCCATGCAGTACAGCTAAGTGTGATGAATTGACAACTGATGGGCACCTTGTAACACCCAGCTGAACTGAATCCGTCCGGTGCTGAGTGTGGGAGCCCACCTGAGGATTGTTGCCAACAACATAAAATGAACTGGAGAAGACGAGGTGGTGCGGCTTGTTCTTCAGGAGGAGCCTGTCATGCTAGCTTCCTAATATGAATTTGGCTGCTCTCATTGGAGGAGCTCAGGACCTTATTGTTGCTAAGAATGGTTGCCATTCACTTTGGGGGAGCTCAGGTCCTTACTTTGAGCATCACTTCCTGAGTCTGGAGGGTAAGATGGTGTGCTATTGAATCTCCTGGAGAAACTTGTCACTCTGGCTTCCTGATGAGAACTCTGTTGTTCTCATAGTCAGAGGAGCCCGGGTCCTCACTGTCACTGAGGATGGCTGTGGTTCTTTCTGGGGTGCTCTGGTCCTTACTTTAACCATCACTTCCTGACCCTAGAGGGGAAGATAGTGTGCTGCTCAATCTCCTGGAGAAGCTTGTCGAGCTAGCTTCCTGATATGAACTCAGTTGTTCTCATCACTGGAGGAGCTTGGGATCTCATTGTCACTGAGGATGGCTGCAGTTCTTTTCAGAGGAACTGAGTGTCACTTCCTGGCTCCAGTGCAGATTTCTCAGCATGCTTGTACAGATTCTTCCTCCTACTGGCACAGACTTTCTAGCTTCCACCACTGACCTTTGGGCCTTCTTAGCATGGATCCGTGGGAGAGACTTTCATGAAACATTGTTGTGGGCTTCCTGATATGAACTCAGTTGTTCTCATCACTGGAGGAGCTTGGGATCTCATTGTCACTGAGGATGGCTGCAGTTCTTTTCAGAGGAACTGAGTGTCACTTCCTGGCTCCAGTGCAGATTTCTCAGCATGCTTGTACAGATTCTTCCTCCTACTGGCACAGACTTTCTAGCTTCCACCACTGACCTTTGGGCCTTCTTAGCATGGATCCGTGGGAGAGACTTTCATGAAACATTGTCGTGGGCTTTAGGCCTCCAGTTGTACACGTCAAGGGTATTGTCATGGCTCAAGGTCTTTAGCTGGACTCATGGAGGACATTGCTGTGGGATCCAGGCCCTCAGCTAGATTCTTTGAGTCTAGGTCTGTGGGCAGATTTTCTGCAGTCTTCTGTATTTGACTCTTTGGGTGACTACTATAAAATAAGCCTATAAATTAGGTGTCCTGTATTAAATTGTTTCCCTCGCAAACTTTTACTGCAACAATTTTCATAACAAGTTTGTGAGAATTTAACATTAAATCATCTCTTGGAATACTCAACATGCCTTACTCTGCTGAAGACGTTAAGATATCTCTGTTGCACAGAATCTCAACTATTATTGTCACAAATTCATGGGTTTGCACAGGAAAAAAAACCAGCCAGAATCACTGACCTCAGGCCATTTTCATTTCTCCAGATTGGGCTCTGGTCTTTTCTAATGTACACATATATCCTTAAATACCAATGTTTAAACACTAGTCTGAGTTCTTTTCTCCATTCAATGTTCCACAGGCAG